TGATCATATATCCGAGCACGACTCAATAAAGAAGGATGTTTTTGTCGGCTTACAAACAGTCGACGACCTGCTAGTGAAAAAGACAGTCCAAAAACATGACAGAAAACGCTCTGTAAGGAAAGAAAGTGTGATTGACAGTGCTGATGAGATAGGCACAGAAGTTGAACATTCCATCTCAGAGGTGCTGTCCGAGGGAACATTAAAAAGAACTGGGAGCAAGACCCCGGGAGAGGTTTACGCAGACGATACATTCGTCTCACAGACAGAATCTCCATCTGAGACTAGGACAAGTACGAAAACAGTGCCTGATACCAACTCTGAATTTACCAGTGAGGAATATACCAGACGGCGGTACGACTCCAAGAGCCAGAGCTACAGCGATGATTTTCACTCCCATGGTACAGACTCGGATGTTGAAGATTTCTCCTCAGATGATAACAGCAGGACACGGACAGACTCAGTGACCCACAGTAGGAGCTTTACATCTTACACAGAGAGCAGGACAGTGACAAGAAGTGAGAAGACACCTAGAAAAGAACGGAGGAAAGAAAGACGGAAAGAGATGACTAAGGATGCAGCGGTGCAGGCAGATGGAGCGACTTCCGCTACACATCAGTGGCTTAGAGGTACATTGCACATGTGTTAACTCTGTGCCTGGGAAGGTAATACTTACACATAAAAGTATAATACACATGGAATATTTCTGTTTTAATTGTGATAATTTTGTTTGGCCTATATTCAGATCTAGATTTGAGCGCTCTAGGCACAGTGACTGGTGTCGATCCCTTGCCAGTAGCCATGCATGTCATCAACCCCCAGGCTCTTGAAGGTAAGATAAGATTATCAGGATTGATAAAAAAAAAATAAAGAAATGAAATATTACAAAAGAAACGGAGACAAGTGGCTGTATTTACTGCCCTTACTGCAGACCTGTTCAAATATACTAAGCATACACTGCTGAATATAAAGGGTTAATTAAGGGCAAATTCAAATTTGTAATGATCTGTCATCTTAATAGTTTAGGTATCTTAGCCATGTGTTCCTTTTCATGTCTTTCTTTTGCAGCTCTAACATCTTACAGTCCAAGTATCTTAGCCATGAATCAGACGTTACTCTCTCAGCTGAGACATACTCAGGAGTCCATCAAGTCGTCACTCAGACTCCATCAATCATTCATGGAGAACATCGAGACTGACTTTAGCTATACAACTCTGGAAGACACCAAAGAGGTGGGTGTAAAACTTCTGGCAATGTGTGTCTCAAGTTATCAAGAGCACAATTCAAGCTAGTCGGTGTTCAGGTTTCACTGTTCAAGCAGTAGTTCTAACTTGTCATTGTTTTGAGTTTCTGTGGTCATAATAGTGGTAACACTCCTTAGACATTTCTATAGACAGAAACAAAAATTTTGAAATAAATAGCTTTTCCTTTTGATATTCATTGCAAGAGTGTAAACTACCTTAGCGAGTACTACATGATGATAAACGCTGATTGAGATTGCAAAGAAATGTTGAAGTTGAAGGAAGTTTGGCTACAGTCATTGTATACTATTCAAGTATTTAACCAAGTGTAACACCCTAGTATGAGGATCATAAGTCAAAATAAAAAAGGACTCAAGAAAAGTTTAATGTTAACTTGTGCTTTAATTTGACCTTTTTCATGTTTTTGCAGTTTATTCATCGTCACAGACGACCAAAGCTGACCATGGAGCAAGCCTTGGCAGAAGTCAGGCAAGAGATGGAGGAGGGATACAGGTAACAGGAGTTACTGATGGAGGAAGTACGAATTGTCATCTGGGCCTGTCAACCAATAAATCTATTATTTTGAGTCTCACCGAATGTGTATGAGGAAAAAGGGTGTTTTAGATCACCTGGGAGATGGTGGTAATCTAAGGACAAAGATGTTGAGGAATGCAGATAACAAGAGCTATGATGTCGGGAAAGAGTTAAAGGAGGGATACGAGTTTCTGAGAGATGGAAACAGTTTGATATATAAAGAGGAAACAAATGAAGAGTGTCAGGAGGAATACTAGTGTCCAAGAGATGAAGCCAATCCGGTAAATCCAGAGGACATATACTCCACGAGATGCAGATAACAGGAATTAGGTAGTCGGGCTAGAGATGGAGGAGGGAGGTTTGCCTGTCAAATCTGGAGGACAAAGAATTAGAAGGCCATAGATAACTTCTTTTTGAAATGCTGTCAATCTGACAAATCTCCAGGTTTAGACAAGAAGTGAAGGAGGTTGTTTTGAGGATGAGACCTGTAGGGAGTTTTTTGAAGACATTACAATAAACATGTATTAAGAGAAAGGAAACTCATCTGACAGATCCTGTCAATAAGATATACAATATCTAGAAACATGGCAAGAGATAAAGGAGGGGTGGAAGATGAGAGCAATCTTATATATCTGTAGGAAGTCTGGAGGACATGGATTATACATGGAACTGAAACTAAGCATGTGAATGATGTAAATCTGATACACTTGCAGGGGCGGATCCAGGAATTTTTGCGGGGGGAGGGGGAGGTGTTGTTATCAGCAAATAAATGCTGAAATGTAGACATGTTTGTTTCTCCGGACACTTGGCCTCCGTAAAATCAATAGGTGGGGTGGGGGGGGGGGGGGGGGGTTGTACCATTCTTTTAATGGGGGCACTGTTCACATCCAACAATCATCGTAACCCAGCAGGCTCTGACCGAATTCTGTGCACAGGCGGATATTATTACCAGTATAATTGTTATAATTTGTTGGGTGGCAGAAGGAGGGGGGGGGGGGTTCACATTATATTTAATGTACTTGTACAAAATATAAAAAATTGAGACAGAGCTGGGTTTTAATTTGATCTTCCCGGTACTGCACCTGACTTGGCAGTCAAATTGATTAAGGATGTAACATTTTGACGTTTTAAGTTAAAGACAGATGGTAGAGAATAGATTGATAAACCTGGAGTCAGTCAGACAACATGGAGGGATGCTGGAGGTTACAGTCGGGAGACGGGGGAGAGATACTGTTTGAAAATATTTTCAATAGAATAGCAAAGAAAGCTACTAGAAGATAATACCCTGAGCACTTTACATGTGGCAGAAGTCAGTTCAGAAAGGACAATGGTTATCACCAGAGATTGTCACCATGATTGCTGTAGAGGACGTCCATGGTGGTTGGAGGCAGGTGGTTGGGGCAATCTAGAAGACTGACTGCATACTGCATGGGTACGTGAGATTAATAGAACATCTTGTAAGATGTCAGCATCATCCAAGAGGAGGATAAGGATCACTTTGCACAAAGCCGAGTCTTGCTTGAGTGTTAACAACTCTTGTCTCTTGTGAGGTGAAGTTACTAGGGGTACACCTTACGTTTGTTTTGTGTTTTACATCTGTTGTACAATGAACAGCTTTTGCATGTTTGCCTAAGAAGTCCTGCCCGTAATAAACTGTAAGCTCATACAGGGTGAATAAATAAAACGGAACCCAACTCCCATAAATGTATTTCATATTCAAAAAATTATGTAGCACCAAAAAATAATAAACAGGAAAGCCAATTATATAAACTACTTTTAGATAAAAAAAAAATTACTGAAATTGTTTAATCCGTTCAAAGAATATCACCATTTAAACGCAATGACCGTAAAACCTGTTTGGTCCAAAACAAAAAGCAGTTGATTGTGTGTTCTGACTGGAACAACAAAGAAAATGACACATAATACATGTTTCAACAACTGTCAACAACTGTAGTACACAATGTATTTAATAACAACCCTGCTAAGGCAAACAGTATCATTTATTTAAAAAAACGGGCCTTCACAAGGACTTTCTTTAACTTTTAATCTGAGAGGTTTTATCGCTGGTGATGTTTGAAGACAATTGTGAAGACGATTCTTGAAATTGCATTTTTGGACGAAAGAGGTTATAGGGTCATTGTGTTTAAATGGTGATATAGTTTGAACATATTATGCAATTTATGACAAATGGTACCGAAAAAAGTTGCACTTTTGTATACGTGCAAGGTGAGTGTGAACCACAACTTGCACGTAAACAAGAGTGCAACTGTTTTTGGTATCATTTGTCATAAATTGCATAAATTCGAACACATTATAACTGTTTTGGGCCAAACAAAAAGTATGGCTGGATTGCTAAGGAATGTCTGTACTGATTAGTCCTTATTTGAGCGAGAGGTGCTCCGTAGTTTTTGAGTTAGACAAACAGTATTGGAAGGGGGATTTTCTTTTTTTGGTTCAGTGTAGTTAGAAGTAAAAATGAAGTCACAATAAATATTAATGAGAGTTACTCTATTTGGAATACAAGAACTGTTTGCATTTTTCTTTCAATGGTCTGCAGTTATATGGGCTAAACTTTAAAGACACATTTGACTTTTTTGTTTTAAAACTCATGAACGTTTAAACAATGGATTAATCAAATTTTCTCGACCGGTTGGAAAAACGTGAGCTCAAGATAATGTTTAAAACATGTCAAAAAGTATATCTGTTTTGCTTTTTTTTGATACAAGTATCAATTTCTTTAACGGAGACGACAATTATGTAACAGTTCATGAAACTATTTTCATGTACAGTGAATTTTCAAACAGATTTCATGAACAAGCGCTCATTATACGCCCGGAATGGATAGATTTCCTTCGATAAAAATAACTTACTAAAATGTATTGCAAGATAAGTTCCTGCTATCCAGTTGTTCCTATTTGTAGATGTGATTTGTTTATATCTCCGTTCATGTTGTGTCTTTAAAGGGGTTTCCGCTAGCCTCTACTCCGCTGTGTCTAACTTGGGCACAACAATGAATCATTAAAATTGAGAATCGCTAATGGCCAAACCCGTTATTTAGCTGGGCTTACATTTCGTGCAGTACACGAGACCGATTCAACATAATTATGAATAATTCTAGCATAGCCGGGGATAAATACACAGTTCAAGCTATTGATTCTACATGACCCCGGATGCACAAACCGATCATTCGTCAGACGGATGACCCTGTATATGAACAAATACAGGTATAGCATTGTGAATGACCTCTGCGGATCATATCCTGGTCTGATGGTAAGGAAACCTAAACTGATGAGTTTCCGTTTGCATGCGTGACGTGTGAGCGTCCGCACGGCTACATTGACGTCGTACATTGTATTAGGGATGTCCTGACCAACCCGAAATTCGAACCACCGAGAAGCAAGTTCATTTTTTAAGGTCGCGTCCCAGTAATCAGGACGCAACGCCATTTTTCTTTTTTATTCACCTCTCTAACCCCGTCTACAACAGCTGGAAGCCCGCTTTTTCGAACGGCGGCATCTGCCATCATGAACTGATGGCCCACAGTTTATGTTCGCAACCGCACAGTACAACAAAAGACGACTACAGTGCAGAACGAAACACGCACTCGCGTACAATAGCTCGGCGGGTTTTTGATATTTGTACAGGCTTGGGACGTACCAGCACGTTGACAACACACCCTGGCTGCATGCACGGAGTATTACTGAGAGGCCGTACGTACACACGAAGCAACGTTGACAACTTACACCGAACCCGAAATTCATGATAGGAGTGGAATACCATTCTCCCCATCCCACGTAGACTCTACTGGGTCAGCCAAATCATGATTGTGGGGAAAAGAAGGACTTTCCTGTATTTTGTGTCCTGCTTTTTGATCTTGATGGTCATAGTCACACTGCGAGGAGGGAATCATCATGGTGGACCGCGGACTTCACCGCGTAGTCGGACTCGAGATGCCAAACGCTCGGCTGATGCCCATGCCAAAAATGCTCCTAATCCGTACAAATACAAAGTGTTTGATAACTACAACGAAGCTAATGAAGAATACGACGCGTATAAGGACCAAGGACCGAATGGGTATGTATAGTATTAGTAGGATAATTTCTCGACACAATCCCCCCGCCATTTCCACCTTTCATTGGCGACCACTCTCTCCCCACCCTGCCTTTCTCCCCATCTTTATTCTTATCTTTCCATATCTACATTATAAATTCCCCATCAATTTCTACAACTGTTCTTTTCGTTAGTGTAGCCTTAATGGGTAATACATGTACACTGCACGAAAAGACGACGCAAGCCGGTCATTTTTACTAGTTTCGTTTCTTATTCCTCCATAATAAATGCATAATTTACTGGTGAATCATAGCGACATCGCGACACCATGCATCCATTCTTGAAATACGTGCGCATGCATGACTAAACCTAAAAAGCAGAGAGCTCAATGTGCTTCACGAACCACGGGTATCCGCCTAAATAGCCTTTTGAAAGCTTTGTCTGAAATGACCCACACGCTAAAAAACTGCTATGCTCCCAAGTTGCAAAAGCATCTGACTAGGTTTGGCTGAAAACGGCAAAATTCGAAAAGTTCTGGCATTTTGTAAATTTTCGCAAATTGACCCCTACTTACCAGTTGGTGACATTTGAACCCAAAATGTGAATACCGTCCGAAGGAGCTTGGGCTAGGGATGCATATTTCACCAAGCTTGGCTAAAATTGACCTAAGTGTCTAGGAGAAGAAGCATATTTGTTTGAGTGTTGCACATTTTCCTAAAATAACCACTGAGTGACCATTACCTGAAATCTTCTAAAATGCTGTATATGGGCTAAGTATGTAATTGACGAAAAATTGTTCAAATCAGGTGAAGAATATGTTGGCAAAAAAAATTAGTGACCACTGGGTGACCATTGACCAAACATGCTGGTCACTTAAGATAGGACTCAGTTCAAGGAAGATCCTGTCAAAATTTTGTTGAAATCGGCCATGAAATTTGGCAGATATGACAAAATGACCAGTAAGTCACCACTACCTGAAATGGAGTCCTGAAATCTACTAAAATACTGTATGGGGTATGGGCTTAGAATGTCGTGGGCCTTGTGCACGAGTTGGCAATTTTTGTCGAGTTCCCAGAATGTATTTCATTTATTGTAACCGTTGAATGGGATGGCGCCAGACTATTTATGCAGGTATAATGCATCCTTATTTTACTGTCATTTTTTGGTTAATTGACATTAGGGAATGTTTTATTACAAATTTTAAATTATTATTTGAAGCAGACTGAAATCGCTTACTCCTTTCTTCGCAAGTTCCAAAATTCAGATTTTACCTCACTTTCAATTCAATGTGGCCGACTCGTGCATAAGGCCCATTGACGAAAATTGGGTCAAACCAGGTAAAGAATTTTGGCAAAAAGGCGTTGTACCTGTGTCAGTAAAATTACTCTATACTGGCCATTAGGTGATAACTCGGGTCTAGGAAAATCCTGTCCGAATTTGGCTGAAATCGGCCAGGAAATTTGGCAGATATAGCATTTTATTTGTGAGCGTTTGCCCGAAGAAAGAAAGAAAGAAACGCGACGATCACAATAAGTGCTTTTATGTGATACGTCACTAGTGTGCCGTTTATTTTTTTTAAAACGGTCTTTACGGCCCCCCGCATTTTTCACGTATCCATTGTCAAGTGATATAGCATTCCCCCTGATTTTCGTCACTACAAGCATGCATGAAACCTTTTCTTCGCAAATTGTGTTGAATCCAATTGATCTTGAGCAGCTGCGGTCCCAAGCGCGACGTAGCCATGGTTGAGTTAATTATCGATAATTCGTGTATAATGATGCTTCGCTTGGATTAGTCATAGCATTGTTTCGTCACTGCAGTGCTCTTGTTCTCAGTGCGATGAAACCGAAATTGTCCTTGAATATTTGTCATTTCCATTTTTTTGCTATGGGACTCAATTAAATTTATGCTTGGTATACCAATTACACGTACCAGGGTACGTGCGCATGCCTCTTCTGCATAATCATTGCGGTGCACAATTCAGTACATTTAGTAAATTTATGCACCAGCCTTCCATGTATTGATTATTTTATTGAACATCCTAAAATTGCGTTCGAGGAAGCATTTTGTTTTTACAGTTCCTCTTTACTTAGTAGTTTTCTTATACCAAATAAAAAACACAGTTAATTTTGAAATTGTGACACGGATTATTGCATATCAGCTAGCAGGGCTATCGTCCAAGGTTTTGACCAGTGTTATGTAAATTCGTGTGTGTCATGCATGATGCATCGATCGCGAGTCTGCATTGAAATGTAAATATTCCACAGCCGAGTTTAAGCCCATTGTTGCCATGGTGTGTTGTGGTCTGTTGGGCGTGTAAAGCTGATAACGAAAACACAACAAGGGCCCCGCAACTTCCAAACATCATTGAATTTGAATACCACCATAAGCGGCACATGTTGGCTTTGGTTCACGTATATATACATGTACATGTACATAGAGATGGGTGTGTAATTAAAGCCCGTAGGCATACATAATTATGCGTTGCGGGAGTCTCAGAGGGCATCCTTTGTTATTTTAGTTTATCAAATGTATTTATTAACATTTAATGCACTATTCAAGAGATGTAAGAACATTGCCCTCTAGCTCCGCCTTAACGAAACAAGTCTATTCTGACGTAGGACATATATAAGGGCCTACGATATTGAGGTCCTTTAAATTCAGTTCGGACGTTCAATTTGGTTTTAATTTCCTGCTTAAATCTGAGTTAGCCTATATGTTGGTCGTGTAAAATCCTAGATTTATTCCCTTGAGAAAATATATTTTTCGTTCTTGCGAGAAAGTTATCAGCCTTTGTTTTATACGAGTTAATTTCAAAGGCGGTAATCTATTCGGTCGTGATACTCAAATGTGCCAGTTCGCCAATTAAGATACCCCAGTCAATGTCTGCACTCGCAACGTGCACTTTATAACAAATAAACATGTTACTTTCTTTCACGCATGTTTATAGGATGTTTTACAAGTAATGGTCTTTTGTATTCGGCCCATTAAGACACGTAATTTGCACATGATGTCGTTTATGTATATAAATGTCACTAAAATAAAACCGATTTCTTTGAAAATTAATTTTCAGTGTTCTACAAAATATACTCTTGTTTACTTAAATCAACAAAGATATCAACAACCTTGACGTCGTTATGGTTATGCCCACTTCCATGTGGTAAATGCCACTGAAGTACGACGAAAAAAACAATCTCACCGATTGACGTCATTTTGGTGTTTACGTATTGACATGGCCTTGCATGTTTGCTTTTCATCGGTGACTTTTATTATTTTGGTAATGATGAGCTGTAGGAGATAGGTCTGCGTAAATCTAATGTATGAATTCTCATTTCGAAAGGGAAAGAAAATCCTGCTTCGTATAATAATAACTCCCCTTAACATTCGGTTTGTGTGACCTGTTGGGTGCTGTAATAATTGTCATAGTTTTGTGTGGTCGTAACTACGTACGTGCAAATTAGAAACCAAACAGAATACACAATTTGTACATTCTGTTTGGTTTTTAATAAAATGTATTATAATGTTACTTTGGCCCAGATGGTCTTAATATTATGCGTAACTCGTCCATTTCGAGCCTAGGATATTACATTCATGATTAACATGCACATACTTTCGTTTGTTAATGATTGCATGGGTAATAATTTTCTACGTAGAACCGTATAATTTTATCGTATATACGGATCATAAATATCAGAAAGAACAGCTTTCACTTGTCATGTTCTTTTCAGTAAGGGACATATATTCAATACTGTACAGTTTGGTTTTAAACAGTTTACAAGACCTATAGTGTCGTTGACACAGGAACTTTTTGCGCGTCATATGTTTTTGCTAGTCTGGTTTATAATCTATGGACGGCCGTAAAGGGGGGGGGGGGGGGCGGGCAACGTCTCTATAGTCCGAAGTGCCATTGGTCCGACGTCCCATTGGTCCGACGTCCCATTGTTCCGACGTTCCATTGGTCCGACGTCCCATAGAATTAGGGTTAGGGTTAGGGTCAGTCAACCTGAACCAGTGGAACTACACAGTATTATGTTTCATCGGACCAATGGGACGTCGGACCAATGGGACGTCGGACCAATGGGACTTCGGACCAATGGGACGTCGGACCAATGGGACGTCGTACCAATGGGACGTCGGACCAATGGGACGTCGGACCAATGGGACGTCGGACCAATGGGACGTCGGACCAATGGGACGTCGGACCAATGGGACGTCGGACCAATGGGACGTGGGACCAATGGGACGTGGGACCAATGGGACGTCGGACCAATGGGACGTCGGACCAATGGGACGTCGGACCAATGGTACTTCGGACTATTGTGACTCAACCGTAAAGGGTGGGGGAAATTTACAGTTTTTATATGTAACCCTCAAAATCACTGAATTCTCGACAGAAATAACCTTAACTGAATAAACATATTTCCCTTTCTGTTTGGGGCAAAAATTATCTCCGTTATATTGACGCCAACTGAAGGTCATCCATACAAAACGGCGCTCCTTATTTTTATAACGAAATCTAATTTGCAGAAATGCAAATTCTGAAAAAGTAATTAACACCCGGGTAATTAAAGCCAGACGTTGTAAGAGACTAGTAAGGGGCTGGGGTATATAAAACAAAGCACACACTGCGCGATGTAGACAAGAATGAATGGATAGATGCCATTATAAACTGCATGGACCAATCCCCAGATAGTGGCCTAATGGACAACAAGTCTAATGGCCTGTTGCGACGTCGTGTGGTTGATGATGTGATTGAGAAACGGCATAATGGACAAACTCTGAAATACAGTGTGCAAACAGACACCTATGTAATTATAATGGTGCAGGGCTTTTGGTATAGGCAAACATGACCTACATTCTTGAGGTCAAACGGAAGACAACTTTTCTTGAAGATTTTGTGACTTCTCTACACCCAAGACATCAATTTCAATATCAAGTCTTTTATTTTAGGGAGTTGCCAATTTTACCAAAATTTTTATCATCCATGTGCATTTGTCGTTGAATGATTGAAGCTGTGATTTTAATATTTTTTCTGTTAGAAGGATCCCGCTTTGAGGGACATAGTTTTTTTCCGGACCAATTTCATCAAAAAATCGTTCAATTTGAACCGAGGCCCATTCAAATTCGGTTTAAGTGAATGCTCCCTTAAATGAGCATTCGAGCATCAAAACGAGTCGTTCTATTTCGTTTTTTTTGATAAATATGTCAAATTTATATAGTCGTTGCGTACATTCAAATTCGTTAAAGGCCTCAGAAAGAGGTTGAAAGAGAATTCGATTGAATGAACTAGCAAATAGTTTTCACATATCTGGACTCCAATTTCTGGATTCCTTTTTCTGCTGATTCGCATTTGCCTATAATTGTAATGGACAGAAGAGCCTATTTTGTTTTCAGGTTATGACGTTGATCTCACCCTTGTTTCTACAAAGCTTTGTTAACATGTAATCGTGTTTAGAAATAGTCCACAAAATTACAAACATAAATAAAGTTAAATGAAAAGCACCAATCGAGTCTTTTAAGCCTTCCTCAAGTCGAGTCGAGTCATTCTGATGAGGGACTCGAGTCGAGTCGAGTCATTTGCTCGCAGTGACTCGAGTCGAGCCGAGGTTACGCCACTGATTAAGTGGAATCAGTTGATTTAAAAGATTAAACTGATCCCCAATCAATTAATTTTGCCAAATATAAGACTCAAAAAAGTGATTTAAATCAGCGATTGAAAATAAAATCGTTTGATTTAAATCGCGATTTTTCATAGTTTAACAAAACCTCCATAATAGGAGAGGATGATCCAAAGATCGGTGAAAGTCCACGAAACTGATTTCTTGCGCGTTAATCAACACAATTTTCTGAAAAAGACGCAAAGTTATACCAATATTGGGGACGCCTTTATTAAAGGAACACAGTACGTGTATCTTTCTTCAGAGAATGACAACATTTACATAAAATAAAACTGATGTTGCGGAGATGCGCCTGACATCAGGAGGCATGTTTTGCACCAGCCTCGACTCCATGGGCGCGTGCGCGTTCCTTCACTAACCTCGTACGTACATTTAATACAAATCCTTGCTAAATAACTCGACGTCGAAATTTTATGCTTCAAAAACACAACTTGTAACGTTTTAAACATGACGTCGCGCGTTAGATATCGACTGCAGTCCTAATTCAAATGTGTCATATTCTGACACATTTAAATTAGACCAATCCAGGGGTTTAGATCGCGCAAGGCATGATGGGAAACAACATGGCGCAGCAAGATCATACCCATGGAAACGAGGTTGGTTTTGCACATGTTATTGCGATGGTGTACCACGTTTAAGGTTGGATAGCTCAGTTGGAAGACCCCCCCCCCCGCTATTTTTGCCTTAGAATATAGAATGTGAATTTTGATTATGACATATTTATGTATCCAAATTTTACATGCATGAAAATTTATTTGTCACACTGCAGGTTTTCAAGTTTCACATTGTAAACAAATCATATTCTGCCGTGAATGTTTGACTCAGCAGCTTAATGTTTTGCGAAATTTATCGTGATTCTCTCGAGCTTGGGTGGACGTTAGTGTGCGTCGCCATTAGATGGTGATCTTATTGGTTTGATTAATTTAGTTATCTAATCTTGGGATGAGTAATAATGGTCGTCCTGGCAAATGCCTCATCATATGTTGTCTGTTGATATAGCCTAGCCTCTTATTAACGCATTCGTTCGTATTTATATGTTTGCATGGCGTTGCCGTTTGTACATGTACATTACGTAAGATTTTACACCATCATTAAATGCCGTTGGATCCATGTACGTAAACCCGGTCAGCGGATGTTTTCTCCGGAACATTAATTTATGTCTCTGACATCAACATTTTAATAACCGACCCACCCATGTTAATCAAGACACAGACAATCTTAATTTAGTTATTTGACCTGCCAGTGAAAAGACAAACATTTTCAAACGATTTTTGCTGTCGTCATGATGTCTCATCTAGCGTTGTCAGTGCACAGATTGTTACCATGAACTTTATAAAGGGGCTTGTTCCACAAATATACACGAGTATCATTATTTATTTATTTCTAAACACCTTATTCATAAAAAGGTTGGGTGTGTATTAGCCACTACATGTACATGTTTTAAATTCTTATGTTAATTTTTTTCCCTGTCGATAGCTTAATGATGCGTCAGATCGTGGCTGGATTGTGTAATCATTTCGTAGGGGATTTATTTGTTTGTTTTCAAGTTAATTTGATGAGTGGCGTGTTTTCTGGATTGGCGTTTTGTCATTTTACTTCGTCATTTTACTTCGTAAGTGGGGAGGGGATGCGGGCAAACCCAATCAAGGCCTGGATCCAAACCCGTTAACACCCCCCCCCGCTCAAAAACCCTTGGATAACTGAATTGGCCTTATTTAAGTATAGGCTCCCTATAGTGGGTAATCTGTATTGTTTTTACTCAGATGTGTAACCACTTCAAATAGCGCCTGCTTTTGTGTCCTCCGTAACATTACGATTTTTAGTTTAAAAAAGCGGAACCCAAACCCCAAAAATACATTTCATATGTAAAAAAATATGAGGCACACAAACACAATAATGACTGGAAAGTCAATTTCATAAGCTACTTTAAGATAAAAAAAAATACTGAAATTGCTCGATTCGTTCAAAGAATATCACCAATTAAACGCAATGACCCTAACACCTGTTTCGTCCAAGCAATTCCAGTATTTTTTTCTTTCTAAAAGTAGCTTAATAAATTTGCTTAATTTCAGTCATTATAATGTTTGGTGACATATTGTTTTAAATATTTAATATAAAGTTTTGGGGGTTTGGGTTCCGCTTTTTCTTGACCCACCCTTTATTATGCTCAGTTCACAAATGTAATTAGGAATAGTTTCTGCCTGCTCCATACAATTTAGACCGCGTAGTTTTCGTTCTGCTGAATATCTTCATTAAAACAACAAATGCAATTATCTGTACAAAAAACTCGTTAACAAATTTTTCTCGCTTGCTTAAATCCTCCCCGAGTCAAATTTGCCGGTTGATATCCGTGCGTTCAGCCAAAAAGCTTAAGCGCTACTTACACACAGTGGTGAAAGTGGGGTCTACTTTCATAAGGGGCACTGTGTTTGTGCGGGGGGGGGGGGGGGGGGGGTAAAAAGGCACCTCTTTTTGCACCTTTTTGAATTCAGTGTTGACAATGCACAACTAACGAAAAATGATGCCATATGGGTCCGTGTATTTGGTACTACATTTGTATTGGTTATACATGACATTTGTAGCTAACGAGGCCTCTCTATTTTGAATCACACATAATTATTGGACTCGCTTAAGTTCATCCTTATTAATATGTTTTTTCTTACTTTTATAGGGACAGTACAGATCCCTTGGACATTCGGACATTCTCGAGTACCGACGACCAGCTATTGTATTTATATAACAAGGTATTATCAGCGCCATGGATGCCAAATCGCAAGAATTTAGCCTCATTCAGGTGAGAGATCTTTTTGGAAACAATAGAGGGCGGTGTGCAGTTCCAATGATGCATACTGATGTGTACCTTAATGCCACTTTACAAATCGCACTTCATCTCAAATGTGTGCTTTACTTTGTATAAGTCCTTGACTTGAGTAATAGAAATCAAGTTTTTAGCACGCCCCCTTCAAAGATAATTCAATGTCATTGAACATTTTTGTACGAACTGAAATCGTTTCACCTGTTTATGTTTTCCAGAGATGTGTTTTATAGGCAAACAAGAAATATGACCGCACAAGATGAGGTGATTTTAAACCATCAAAACGTCAAGCTTGGCGATAGTCTGCCGTACGCATTCACCAACACTTTGGGTGCAAAGGATGGAGTCAAGTATTACTTCAACATTACGCAGGAAATTCTCGACGAAATTCCAGTGGTAGGCTAACGGTGCACTGAAAAATTGCCTGGGTTAATTTTACCAAAGAAATGGTGAAAACTGCAACTACCCAAATTGTGTTTTTATTCAATTTTGCTTCAATTCAGAAACCTTGGGACATTTATCAGTTAAGGCCACACTTTTGCAGTATTTTTGTATCATATCCAACTTCCGTTTAATAACAGGTTCCATTTCTGCCAATACACACTGAAAATTGCATGGGTTAACTTCACCCAAGACAGGGTGAAAACTGCAACTACCCAAAATTGGGGAGTTCTATAAGCAACGGTTTGGGTTAGAATTTCTGTTAAATTCAACCAAAACTTGTGGTCATACAAGACCAAATTTAATTTGCAATTTAGCTAACAATTAACAGACAAACTGTTAATTTTGTCTAGCTAAAATTTAATTCAGCTAAAATCGTTATGTAGGCAGCTCTTTGAAATCGAGTTATGGCCTTTGGTTGCATGATGGTATTTTCGCGTCGGGAAGATTTATATATTTCAATGTGGGCCCTTCATTTTTGTGGCCTTGGCGACAATAATAACAGAACTTAGGGACTCAAAAGGACTTGTCAGTCAAGCGAGATCCCACCAATTAACTACAGACTAGTGATTCGACTGCTCAGATACTTACTCGGTTCACTTTTGCACTGTAGGCCTCTCCTTTCCATGGGAAGACGTTCAAGCGGTGTAGCGTCGTTGGAAACAGTGGAATTCTCTGGAACAGCAAATGCGGGAAAGACATCGACAAGGCAGACTTTGTGTTCAGGTATCGTGTGTTTTTTTTTTTAAAGCCAATTCCTAATCGGCATTTGGTTTCTGCGCAATGAAGAAGTTTATGTCAAGATCATAAGGGATGATAAGTATGACAATGTAGAAGTATAAAATGTTGCTGCTAAGATTAACATTTGTTGAATGCACACTAAACCAACCAATTGCAGATTGCAGAAAGACCAAATAAGGCTCCTTTGTTTATTTTGTTTATCCCGAATGACCAGTTGGCACACCGAATTTGCATATTTTGATTGTTGACCATCACGGTTGATGTTTTTTAAAGATAAATAACCTATAGGTTCCTTATTTTACAAATGAAATAACAATTAACAAACAATGTAATCCAACAGATCCAACGTGCCACCTCTTCGTCCTTTTGTTGTGGACGCCGGACGGAAATCCAACCTATCCACCATGAACCCAAGCATCATCAATAACAGGTATGCCCAACCTGCTATGAGCTTGCCATCGCGCCAACGTATTGTTTCACAGCATGCCTAGCCGGTGTCACGGTCTCACTTCTCCGGCGTGCTGGATTCTCCGGGTGAATGCGGCGGATAATGGAGCACGTTACAGTGCACGTTACATGAGCACGATACATGCTCATGTGTCCGCTGTACTTACTTTTCCTCGGGCGGTGCTATGGGGTCTACCCAGTCCACCCAAGGATGTGTTATGTAACACTTCCTGTGGATGAAGCTTAGAGCATGTAGAGAGGACCATTGCCTGGGTCATTCCATGGTCTTGCAACAGCGTGGGTGTGTACGTGTGTGTATGGAAGAATAATTAAGAACGAACTCCTTGGTCTGTGCATGGCTCCTTGGTCTGTGAAAGGTCTGTGTTCCATGCTCGTTCGTGGTTGTCTTTATTTTTGCAACCATGTGTATCCTTCACATCTTTACATGTACAGTGTATTGGGAGTTCCGCGCGCCACGAAAATTCTGGATTCGACTGGTACCTTGTAACGTATACATTTGTACATACAAATATCCAAAGATTACACGTGCACCCGTACAACCCCAAAGGACTCAGCACACAATAAAGTTGGCGAAATGTACACTACTGCGCAACTTGCGCATGCGTGTTTAGGCGAAATTTCCCTCTGCGGAGAAGCTAGCACGCCGGAGAAGTGAGACCGTGACACCGGATGTATGTGCGCGCAGGTCATGGATGACATCAGAGCATATCGACCGAGAGGTGTAAACGCAAAATTCTCATAGGTTGAATCAATGTCAGTCTGTAATTTTTTTTTTTAAAGTTTCAACTCTATTGCCTTACACTCGCTGTTTGATTTTGTGATATCGAAAAAGTCAGGTATCAATTTAAGGTTTGCTCAGAAAATGCATCCCTTTTCTATAGTTTACGTGAAATTGATAATGCATCGCAACAAGGACATCGACCCAATTCCAGCAAGACGTTCTTTTTTAATGCGCATTTTCTGGCGAAATATTTTATATTTTCTGTATGTTGATATATTAAATAAAAGGAAATGTCAAGCAATAACATGGTACAAGTAGTTTTATGTCATTGCAGTTTTTATGTTATATCATTTTACGCTACAGATTTCGACGCCTTAAAGACATTGCAGACCACGAGAAATTCGCAAAGGAAATTGGCGAGTATAACGGCATGCTGTGGCTTCCGTGCATTGGATCGGTCAAGATGGTGGAGGTTTGTCTCCAGGCAAAACGGTCACTTGATTTCCACGGGGGAGGTAACCCTAGGACAGCTATCGCCAACCCGTATCATTATATCGCCGTCCAGTACTTTTGGAGTCACAGGAATTTGACGCAGTTTATGTCCACAGGTTAGTATACAATCTCTCCGATTACAGACCAACCCGGGCTCACTTCTACCACGAATCCCCCTTCTATGGCAAAAGGATTTTGCTAACAACTTTTGTTCAGATAATCATAGGCAGTTGCTTTGCAAAATGCTTTCGCCATTGGAGTGGGGCTCGTGCACGTGTACTGTGATGAAGTGCCCCGTCGCTATTCTGATTGACTTCTGCATGGCCGTGGTGTGAACTATTTGAAGTTTAACAAGCGTACATTTGACACCTGATTCGTATGTGTACAAGTCATCTACTCGAAAACTAGCACAAAGATGTGAAGGTTTGCATGTCCTCTCATTGTATGAGGCTTTTATCAAGTATAAATAATATATTCAATATTGGGTTTTGCCTTTCACAAGCACACGAGACAACACTGAGTATTCAATGTTATACAATGATGAAATTAAAAATCATCCTGGCGCAAATTCAACCTCATGAATTGTGCTTAGTAAAATAGGCTACAAGCCTGACTAATTTGCAGTGTGCATTACTGTGCAATCTATTCACAGCAGATTTTTGCTCAGAACTTAAAAAGTTATAATAGCTTGGGCATTATTTTGTGCTTAGCAGCTAAAAATTGAGCCTTGTCTCTTGTCTATAGAAAAGTGGACTCCAGCGCCCTCTGTTGTCACAATCACTATTGCAAATACGTGTGATGCTCTTAATGACTACAGGTTGTCGTTTGGTTCAAAAGAAATTCTTGATCGAACCTTTGAATTCTGTGTGAGTCATTACATTGCGACAAACTATTTCACAAAGATGTTAGTGGGACTGCATTTATTTTGTTTACCGCCTTTTAACTGATTTTCCACCTGATCCTTGGTAGGTTTTTACGTGACCCACTTGTCGTTAGCCATGTGTGACGAGACGCACTTGTACGGCTTTTGGCCTTTCGGAACTACGGTAGAAGACAGCCCTACAGACCCTGACAACAACACGGTGTCATTCAGGCAAAGGAAAGTCCGATACCACTACTTTGACAATCTACCAGGACCAAACGGCGCTCACTCAATGCAGGACGAGTTTGGAGTGCTGGTACAGATGCACAAACTAGGAATGCTGAAAATGCACGCCAGTAGTTGTCAAGAATGAAACTCTTCCACCCTTCTACCTCCCGTTCCCCCTTTTTAAAAATTAAATATCTCCCTCTTATGGAACAACACCACATCGATTTCCAAAGCTTCCAACTGCAAGCTGGCGTAGCTTGGCTAAAACGCCCTCTGTCGTTGAAAACCCAGGCTGGTAGTAGTCATGACTGCAGTGCGCATGATTGAACAAATGACGGGGTTCGTCTTTCGAGCTTGCCTAATCCTGGGGCCAGATTTCAATGCTCATTGAACAGAGACATTATGTTTCATCAGCAAAGATGAACTGCTGAATGTGTGCAGGGTACATGGATAACTTCCAATGTTTTGTGAATATTTTTATTATATGAAGCACATATCGCTTACCTACAATTTCAGGTGTTCTATGCTCACAAGGCCATAAAGTCAAGATGGACAAACACTGAATAATTATTAGCCGAAAAAAGAGAGCTTTTCTATATGACGACTAGGACCAGCGTTTTATTTCCGCGGGTACTCTGTCCGATGGAAAGAATAATGTCCCGTCGATATTTATTATCATAATTGCCATTCCTGATTCTTATTACCTGTACATAAAGTTTTGGGTCTGAGCCATCCGTGTATTTTTTTAGCGACATTATTGCCATAGCCTTCTCTTTGATGCGGTCATGTACATGTACTCGGTGTGTGAGCCTGTTTTGCACCAATGCAATGCCTGAAGGTGCAACACTGGGAAGTGCTTTGGTAACGGCAGACAATCAGCCTAAACCGAAGCCGATGTTTCAGTTTGTCTTCTTCCACGTTGTTGCCACTCCTAAACTTCTGATGTGTTTTAATAATTGCCAATGCTTGATTGATATTTATTATTACCATTAAATTTAAATAAGTTTTTGTTTATGTGTCTAGGTAAAATTATAAAGCTGCAGCACTGCATTACGTGAAAACATTTCTTAGAATGCTGACGAAAAAGAATGTTCGATGGTGCAGCGCTAAGTGCTTTTAAATGGTTCATGTTGTATAAAGACATTAAGGCCTATCAATAGCATTCTACATTGTGAATGTGTTCCTCGGACACGATCAATGCTTATTTGTTTGATGTAAAACAAACGGAGAAGGGCCTACAATATATGTTGGTCAAATCAAAATTGTTTGATTTGATTGTGTCCCTTGTGTTCTGGAATACTGGGTGAGTAAACAAAAAAGAAATCCAAATAGAAGGACCAATTTTTAACATAAATTTTGCCCGTAGCACTTTCGAAATCTAGGATATGAAATCCAAGTTATAAGCTTTCTTTTAGAACAAGAATCATTCGAATCACTTTTGTACTTTTCCAGTTAACGGAATTTTTAACACAGACATCGTTTTAAAATTCTGTCCACGGATCTCGAAAAGTGCCGTTTGTGTTTCGTTTTTTTTTTTACTCACCCAGTATATTATAACACATGTGTAGCGTTGTTTTAATCCGAGATCGGTGCACTCACGAAATAAAACCAATACTAAAGAGGTTTGACTAAAGAGGTTTGACTAAAGAGGTATTTAAGTTAACTTTATAGTCGAACTTCGCGTTCCTGGAACGTTCTTCTATTGATGAGGTTGCCATATAGCCAGAAATTAGAACGAAATCAAATTACATGTCATAATATAAGCCACTGGCGACGAGTATCATGGCTACGATTTTGATGTGTTATACAGAGGTACTAGTGTACATATTGCCTTTATTGCATTTGCCTTATGAATAGTACGGTATACAAGAAAATATTATAATACTTTGTTTACTCTGCATAATAATGGCGCTAAGCAGTATCTAACAACAATCAGTATTTTGCATTGTTACAGTACATGTATTTATATTTTGTATTGTTGAAACAGGGGATATGACCTACGTTCACCCCAGGGAAAATGATCAATGAAAAACCCTTTTCAGAAACAGTACTTGTAACACGTTGAGTTGTGCTATTGACATACTTTGGAGATATTCTCTCGGGGGCTTTGAAACTCTCTGCGATTATATTTTTTTTAATACTTCTGTAATGATTGGCTATGCGTTAGGTAGGGCAGGCAGATATGAGGCTTTTGATACTAACATTCTACAGATGAAGCCTGTTAGTCGTATTTATAGCTAAATCCAGAGGCTGTGGTATTTTTTCTTTAAAGCACTTACGAACGAATTCTTAAAAAAACCGCACATATGTTGCATGAAACCACGCGTAAGTTAGAACACTTTGTTCTCTGGACATATGCACGTGCACCAGCGTAATTGTTTATAACTTGGAAAACATTATTAAACTTTGCAAAATGGGTTGCCAGCCTTTTGGCTATCGTGATGAATATGGTTCGCCAGTGGGACGGGTACCAGTAGGACTGGCACGTGAACTTCACATTGTTAAGCAATGCCGTGTATATGGACAAACTTTATAATGCTATCCATTGAATGAGTGTTATCGTAATGTGTACAGTTGTTGGTGCAATATTTTTTTTCTCTTTAATATTTCCAAGGCGAAGGCAACAGCTAGACAAAATGACCACTATTTAAGAAGTAAATACATGTATTTTGAGAAGAGGTGAAGTAATTTACATGTACATGTATACTCCTTTTTCTTTTAAAAGATGCAAATAGTGGATCGGAATATTGGCAGGAAGGGAAGAAACCGCGTAGGTTTCTTCCTTTTACGGAGGAAATTTAGAATGACACCATCAACTCCGTCCATTCCTATAATTTTCCGTTCGAGATTGTAAGTCACAAATTGAAAAACACCAAGTGTCTTCCCGCGAAAGATGCTAAAAATATAGCTGCTATGGATTGTTGATTGTATATAATGGTTCTGCTCTTGTAACAAAAGTTTTCATGCCATATGTGTTTATAAATGGAACGTCTTAATGTTTATGTGTATTTTTTTCTCCAAACTGTTAAATGTAAGATACTCTGTAAACTATTGTTAAAAGACTTTTTTGCGACAGTATTTGTTTAGTTGCATTTAGGGTTTCCCTGTCTTATTATGATCAACGTTATGTTTTTATAAACTATAACTTTCTCTTGAGGTTATTATTATTTGGGTACAATTATTTGTTTGTATTAAAGTACTTATATGGTAACAAATCGTTTTGAATTGGTCTTTTATGAAGTCGTTAGATTTCCCCCCTGCCTCCAAATATAAATGATTTAATTAGAACAAATATTTATCTCAGCAAGCGCTCATACATTTCCACATAACTGAAAATATTTCACAATAGTACTGTAACAGCTCCTATGGATTGTCGGTCGTTCACTACCAATTTTACGCAATTGCAGCAGCTCATACCGGGCCGCGATATTTTTTTCCGCATGCCTTTTTTTTCTGTACGAATGCATATGGGCGTATTTCGAAGTAGGCGTTGAGTTGCAAGTCAGGTTCTCGGACTTTTTTTTCCCTTGAAAAAAAAAATCCAAACCACACATTGGTAAAAGAAAAGTGTTAAAAATGACTAACAGACCTTTTTAAGAGAAAAAAAGAAGTAAAGAAGAAGAAATTAAAAAAACATTCAATGGAAATCGAACTCACACCATCGGATTTGTAATCCAATGTAGTATCCAAGCCACTACAGCAGCGACTCGATCGATGTGGTAGTTTTAAACTTTATATTATTGCATATACATGTATAGCGCCCAACAGCATAATTCTATATACATGTATATACTAGCGAGCGTGTGGTATGGGAAAAAAAAATCGCTACCGGGCCTATAGTGGCCTAAAACGTCGATGTACATGTACATCTTATATTTTACAAAATAACGGTCAAAACCGACACAATGTCACAGTTGCCAAGTTAAAACATTTCTCGCTTCATCAATGACTGAAGTTATTTCCCATCTCCTGGTAATTAGCTGAAAATGCAATGTTTTCCTGCTGTTTTGGATAGGCTGCATAATGTTTCTATCAAACACACCCGCCCATGTTATTGCCAAGACAGTGGTGTTAACATGACATCAATTTCTCGCACGATTTAGCAGACAGAGAATATCCTATGCTATCTGGGGGGGGGGGGGGAACAAATTGGAAAAAAGGTCCCTTGAGCCAGTTCTCACCCGTTGGATGCAAATTGGACATGTAGGAAAACCGGTATCCTCACGCCGAAACAGACTCGCCCCCTCACAATGTCATTTCGAGACAATATAATCAAGAGACCGTTTTTCTGAAAGTCGCATCTCATACTTCACCTGTTTTAGTTAAATAGATCAGCCGTCGGTATAGCGAAATTGGTGTTTAAACTTGATGGAAGCATTGAGGGCAGAAAGGATTGATCTACGCTGCAAAGTTCATTACTTACGCCTGGCAAACATCAAAGACGCTATTTGCATGTAGGGCGCATCTAGATTTCTCACCACCGTGCTTTTAATGAAGAACACCCACACCCAGACAGCTCCCGTGGATGCACGAGGCGAGAGGTAAACCAATGTTTTCCTTGCCTGCCTAACGGGTTGATGACTAAGGAATTATAAATACTTATACGTTGTGCTCGCAAGTGCATTATCTATCATAGACGACCAAGCGTATGGTCATTACATTTCTCGCTGGCATCAGATACTTGAAGAAACGCGTACACACGGACGAGTAGACATTCTTTGATTGTGCGGCGGAATGGATCCATATCTGGCCTTGATGATTGTTGTAGGATATTATCCAATCGTGGGAGGTACTGGTGTGATCTGTAAGTGCCAATTCAAATTGTGTTTTTGTTCTTTAGTTGCTTACTAAACGGCCCTTATTTTTTTTTTTATCAACGGTTCTAGATTCGGCCATTGTTTGACAATCATAGGTGCCAACCTTATGGCACAGAGAATTCAACGTCCGAAAAAATGGCCGACTAAATGTAGAACATCCGAACTTTATGGAAATGTGCCTGAAATAGTAGTACACGAGGAGGAAACCTTGACAGATGAGGTGTGTGCAAAGAACAGTGTGTGGTTAAAAAGAGCTAGACGAGTGAGAGTTAAATTCGACAGCCACTCCTCTGATTATCCATATGGTATTAAGAATAGCCCTGATTCCAAGTAGGCCTATAAGTCAGTGTGTTGAAACGACGCGTGAGACTGGGATTAAAATCTATCACTAATCTCTGTCCAAAAAATTCGGAAAATAATATTTAGATATGAATACCAATTGCGTGAGTGGGATGTTGCCAATGAAGTCAACCATTGAGTGTTTCGTATTCAGCTACCAATAAGCCTATTCAACATTTCACTCACGCATGTGCAAACTCTCGTGAACGATGCAGTTTCTTATATAAACAAAACACGTCACGCGGTCCTTGTTGAATATTTGCTTTTTTTGTATCCAACAGTTAATAATTGCTCACACGAGATGTTGACAGGGGCGGCGGAACGGGGGGCCGGGGGACACTTCCACCCCCCCCCCCGATTTATCCAAGAGCCCCTCTTGCGGATATAAATGTGCCCCCTCGAGATGAAAACAAAACTGGCCTTAACATTTCGGATAATTGTTTTCATTTCTGATATGAACGAGGAAGATAAAAACCAAGCCCGAAAACCATTACAATTCGCCCTGAAAATGGGCACATAATGCGTAGTTTGCATGATGGCCGGTTTTGAAGAGCGCCCCTACTTTGGAAGATGCATGGTACCACGGCCCAGGCTATTTGATTTACGGAGACCAAGACAGTGTCCAGTAAAAAAGAACGTAATTTCAGCACGGGTGTGCCAAAAAACCCACAAAAAAATGCTGAGTACGCTGCTGCACCGACGGAATATGCCTTTTATACTGAGCAAGTGCCCCTTTTGATGCCCCCCCCCGGCCCAGTTTGAAAACAGCTCCGCCGCCGCTGGATGTCGAATTGGCTATAATTATAGCCACACCACCGAAGAGTGAAAAAAAACCTTCAAAATATCCTGCTGAACATAATGTAAACGCGAGTACACATGCACATGAACCATTAGAAATGGTACGCGTACGGGATACGTATGTGGCTCAGAAAAAGTAGCTGTTATATCGCCATTTTGTGTGGTTATTTCACCAAACTACACATGGAGCGCCAGATGAAATATATGGAAATGGTGATTTAATTTAAGACAAAGACAAGTTCAAAGCAGCCGCCAACAAGCACTACAACCAGTAACCAATCATCAAAAAGCAACCAAGAAACCCAGTGCACCTCTCTACTCGTTTTGCTCCTTTTTAGGGGCGTTGAGTAGTATCCTACCAGAACCAGAATTGAAACCTTTTGCGGAGCCACCCCTTTAATCCACACATATTAGAACTTGGCGGGATCACTTTCACACCACAATGTTATTTGAGCCACCCTGCCTTCAAACACGAACCATTCAAACCCCAAATTATTAAAACCACAGAATTGCCCTGTGAAGATCAAGACTCCTTAATTTTGTCAGCAGGGGCGATCCATGGCAATCCACAATGATCTTAAATGTGCACAAGTTCAGTAGGTTTTCCCGCCAATTTTAAGCCACCCACTAGGGCCAGGCAAGTGACACCCCCTCTGGTGGATGTACCATGGTCCAAACTGGGATCTAATAATAGATGACCTAGGGCATGTCTGCTGTGTGGCTTGGACAATATTAAACAGAGAATTGTGAGTAGTCTTTATTCCCTGGTGGGCGGCTCCATACAGAAAATTAGGCTAGCAACTTTTATCGAGCCACATCCCACACGCGCACCATTTATAATCGTCCCTATGTACAGTAACAAGCACGTCCAACCACTGGAAAGTCCAACTACTGAAATACTATTTTGTAAGAGCTAACGTGTTCCAAGTAGTCACATCAAACTTCGTGTTTTTGTTGCTTCAACATAAAGTCTTTAAATTCTTTACTTAATTCCAGTGGTGACACCAACGTATGGATCTGTTACAATTCCAGAGAGCGCACTCTGCTGTTCAGTGGCGTGTCAAACTGGTTGTGATCCTGAAAGTAAAAACGTCGATAGGATTACAACATACGAGAATCTGATTTGTAAATGCGATTCTTTCTGTATCGATTATGACGACTGTTGTCCCCATTATTCGGATCGATGCATGAACAGAAGCCATTCGTCACATCACGATGACCGTCAAAAGAGGTTGGAATGTGTTTGGACGTCGAATGCTCAGACGAACTTGTACAAGGAGAAATACGGTTTCTTCATGGTGTCGAGTTGTTTGGAAACCAAAGATTGGGGAGCATTTGGCGAGCTCTGTCAAACACTTCAGCCCAATTTTACCAAGATTTCTCTGCAAAAGCTCACTGCAACAATCAAGATGTTACCAGTTGCCAGTAATCTAACTGGACTGCATTACAAAAACATTTATTGCGCTCTGTGTAACGGGGTTCCAGTTGATAGTCTAGTTCCTTGGGTTGCCCGCTCCTCACTACCTGCTGACAGTAATGAAGTGTACTCTCGGTATTGGTTCGAACCCCCTAGTGCGCCCTCTATTCTCAATATAACGCAGCCTCGAGGGTGCATCACCGACGTTGAAGTTTCAGACCCGGATACACAAAACACCTCGATAGCCAACAAATGTTCCAGTCTATCGAATGTTTTAGAATCTGGTAGTTGCCTCGTATGCACGCAGCACCTCGATACACCCTGGTGTTATTTACCAAACTTGCCTATGGAGGCTCTGAATTTCAAAATTCCATTCAACTTTCCTTCATTTGTTCAAACTGAATTTGTCCCTTGCCCTGGCCAATTTATCTACGATTTTAACCTGTGGAAGTGTGTTCATGTCCTTGGCCCACCGGACATCACAATCCCATCTCCATCGACCGAGACTTTGCTTTGCTTGTCACGACATGCTGAGCCTCACATTATATTGGTGCGTCTACAGATGTCACCTCTGATGAAGTCAGTTGCTAAGGATGCAGTACGCCAAGACTTCATGTTAGCTTTCCGCGAAGCCATCGGAATCACAGACGCTAACGTTGAAGTTGTTTCGTGGCCAAATCACGATTGGGAACCAATTATTCAACTCGAAGAGAGCAGAGCAATCGCCTTTAAGGTTCAACTCCCTTTGAATTCATCTATTGAACATGTACTTAGCGCCATAGCCAAAGATCTCTTGTTAAATGGGCAAGCTAATCGGTCATACATCGTGTCCATGGTGGAATTCATGTTGCCATGTGGAGACTACACCATTGACCAATGCGTGGCTGACTCCAGCATAATTGAGGTACAAGATGAACATGTCACTGTGAGAAATAATACTTTGATATTTAATATGAGCAACGACGATATCAAATCTAGCAAAGTTTTGAGGAGAGTTCGCTATCGATTCAGGGACACAGAGAATGGAAACATGTCTGAGAGGTCTCAACTGTTCATCTGTAACATCAAGGAACATTCCAAGTCTGAACAGGTACAGTATTTGTTGTACGTAATTGGTACCGCGGTTTCATTGGTGGGACTTCTGTTGACATTTATGACGTACATGATTTTACCTGGTTTGCGTACGGTGCCCGGGGTAGGCACTATGAATCTAATAGCAGCGACTTTCACGGCTCAGCTGGGACTCCTCATAGCCGGCCAAACAGCGAGCACTGTCACTACTGCTCTGTGCACAGCCTTGGCGGCGATCTTACACTACGTCTGGCTGGCTTCATTCTCGTGGACCTCGTGCCTCGCTCTGGGCCTCAGTCGCACATTGGGTAACCCTACTGGCAAGCAGCGACAACTGCAAAGCAAGATGCAGACGGCTAAGCTGAACGCCCTCTATGGCTGGGGAGGGCCAGGGCTAATCGTGGCTGCATGCTTGATCGTTCACTTCGCCGGTCACCAGAACCGGGATGTCTTAGTCTACGGAGGGGAAAGCGCGTGCTGGATTCAACCCAAGGAAGCAAACCTGGTTGTTTTTGGGGTACCAGTGATATTGTCTCTCCTCGCCAATGTTGGTATGTTTGCGAAGTCTGTGCTAGGTTTACGGGCGTCTAAGAAGGCTACGAGACGTCTAAATGCACATGTCTCCTTTATCCAACGTGCCAGACTGGAACTCACCATTTACGTTAAGGTGAGAAAATCAATGTGTTCAGTAAACCCTTCCTTTATCCAAGCTACATACACAGCAAATTCCACTGATATCGGTTAACCGTGTTCGGGGTATATCGTTCATAATTCACCATTAATTATACAAAAGAAATTTATGATTTGCAACAATCTATTGTGGCTTCTTGGAGGGGTCGTACTAGTCCAGAATTTATGGACGATATTTTGGCATTATTAATAAATGTATATATGTTAACAATAATCCGCTTTCATAGGTCTCATTGCTGATGGGGTTTTCGTGGTCCTGGGCTCTCATCGGTGCCTTTACCAGAATCGACGCCTTCTGGTTCGTTTTCATCATCTTCAACTCCTTCCAGGGTGCCTATGTGTTCATAGCATTCGTCTGCAACGCGAGGGTGCTGCGCATGCTCCAGATGAGGCTGGGGCTACCGGGTAGAAGTAACCAATCACAAGCTGCCTATCATACAACGCGGGCAACACGGATGATGCAGGTGACATCAGCGTCTAATAAGAACATTAGTTCCACTACTCAGTGAACTTCAAATTGTTGAGGATGCAAAAGAATGTGGTTTTACATGATTCAGTCTGGGCCTGTTGGAATACTAAACCCTTTGTGTTCCACAATTGTTTTGGCGTATGTTCCAATTTTAATCTTGAATCTGTAAAATCCGAGACAAGTTACTGAAGGCAAAAGTTAATTAATTATTTACCATTATAATATCATATTAATGATTTCTGAAGCTAATGATGAACACCCGCCTTTCAATCTGTTTGGCCTGACAAGTCACTATAAAGCTTTCGATGTTTTCCGCCCAAAGTCTGATGCAAACAACTTGAGTACTCTGCAAAAAAATCTGCTGTGCGTTGCTTTCTGCTGTCCGTTGCAAGCATGTATGCTAAAAACTATACAATTTCATTCTTTTTATTATAATTAATATTTTAATATTAGACTGTAAGTGCAATACTGTATAATATAATAAGATCAGGCGACTCCATGTTTCAATCTACGTACCGTTTTGAAGACACGGACAACATTTCACAAAAGGACATTTCCAGTCATAGACGCGCAGTCAAGTTGCATTGTTATACCAGGGCGGATTCAGGAGTTTTTTCCGGGGGGGGGGGAGTTAATCAGCAAATAAATGCTGAAATGTAGACAGATTTTTTGTTCTTCGGTCACTTGGCCTCCGTAAAATCAATGGGTGGTGAGGGTGGGGGGGGGGGGGGAGGGGGGAGGGACTCATACTTTCAATGGGAGCGCGGTTCAACTCCGACGATCAATAGTAACACTATTACGGCACAAATACCACGTAACCCAGCTGGCTCTGCCGAATTTTGTGCACAGGCAGATTTTATTTGTAGAATTTTTTTTGGGTTTGAACCCCCAACCCACCCCCCTCCTCCTCTGGGTCCTTGCCTGTGTACAATGATATGATAATACGATGTTGCAATGGGATTAAATTTACGGCTGTAGGCCTACCGTGTAACAAATCTCATGAAAAGAAACGGGAAACTCGGTTGCATTATGGTGCAACCGTAAAAGTAATATTATTTATTTATTTATTTCTTATTTATCCTGGGAAATCTATTCAGTGAAAACAACTCACTGATCTCCCATGGATCCCGGCTCACACAAAACTACAATTAAAATACAATTAAAATATTAAGAGTACAGTGTAAGAATGTTAACAAATTCATTTAAATAAACTGAAATAAAATATGAATCACACAGATGATAAACAGACATTTACAATACAATACAAAACATCACTGCAAGATGACATCCCCCACCCCTGGATTTTTTCTTTTTTCCCCCGCTTTTTTAATTTTTTTTTTTTAAGTGAGCTGTTTGAGTTGACTGACGAAGTGATTAAGACTTGTTGATTGCGGAGATTTTAAATGTTGCGGTAAGTTATTCCAAGCCTGGGACCCCTGAAGTTAAAAGTTCTTCCATTTTCTGTTCTAGGGTGTGGAAGAGCCACATTACCAACAGTGCTACTCCTAGTTCGATGACAATGTAGTTCACTGACTGGAGCAAAAACTTCGCTGAGATAATTAGGAACATTGCCTGATAAACACTGAAAAACACGCATACTGTAATTTGTATCCTTGTGGAGACATTCCTTTGTTCCATGAATCTGATACACCGTACCTTCTGGAGACGTGTGTACAATAGGGAACAAAAGATTGTATACGTCTCCACAGGGCAGTTTCTATAGATGAATACGTCTCCACAAGGTTTTTACGAAATAGATATTTTGCCACTAGCCAGTTCACCATACAGCAGGACCTTTGGGATCCTCCCTTCTGGCATGCGGTAGACATGTCCAAGCCAGCGGAGTCTGCGTTGTTGGAGAAGGGTGACCAGGCTCTGAATGCCAGCCTGGGCAAGGACCTCAGTGTTCGTCACATGGTCGGACCACTTGATGCCAAGAATGCGCCGCAGATTTCGCAGATGGAATGTGTTGAGCCTCTTTTCCTGTCTTGAGTATAGGGCCCAGGACTCACTGCCATAAAGGAGGGTACTGAGAACGCAGGTTCTGTAGACGGCTGTCTTGGTGTGGATGGTCAACTTGCCGTTTTCCCAGACCCTTTCGGTAAGCCTGGCAAAGGTAGAGGCCGCTCGTCCAATGCGCCTATTTATCTCAATGTCCAGGGAGAGGTCGTCTGACACTGTTGAGCCTAGATAGGTGAATTCGTGCACAACCTCCAGCTTGCTGTTATTGGCTGAGATGACCGGTGGCTGTTCAACGCCCTGGCCCAACACTTCAGTCTTTTTTATGCTGATGTTCATGCCGAAGTCCAGGCAGGCGCATGAGAAACTGTCCATGAGACTTTGTAGCTGCTGCTCTGTATGGGTGGCTAAAGCTGCATCGTCTGCAAAGAGCATATCCCTGATAACCGCTTTACGAACTTTGGTCTTCGCTTTGAGCCGGGAGAGGTTGAACAGCCTCCCATCCGATCGAGTGTGGAGGTACACGCCCTCTGTAGATGAGCCAAAGGCATGCTTCAGCATGACAGCAAAGAAGATGCCAAACAGGGTTGGAGCAAGCACACACCCCTGCTTAACGCCATTGCATATGCTGAAAGCCTTTGAGGAAGCGCCGTCGAACTGCACGACACCTTTCATGTCAGTGTGGAACGCCTGTATCACACTGAGTAGCTTGGGTGGGCATCCGATCTTGGCTAGGATCCGGAACAGGCCATCGCGACTCACAAGGTCGAAGGCCTTTGTGAGGTCAATGAAGGCAATGTACAGTGGCTGTCTCTGCTCTCTGCACCTCTCCTGTAGCTGGCGTAGGGAGAAGACCATGTCTATCGTTGAGCGCCTTGACCTGAAGCCACACTGAGACTCGGGATAGACTCTGTCGGCCAGTTTTTGCAATCTGTTCAGGATGACACGTGCATAGACCTTGCCGACGATATTCAGTAGAGAGATGCCCCTGTAATTATTACAATCACTCCTGTCCCCTTTATTCTTGTAGAGGGTGACGATGTTGCTATCTCTCATATCCTGAGGTACTTGTCCCTCCGTCCAGCACTGGCAGAGTAATTCAAACAGGTGGCTCAGCAAGACTCCTTTCGCACACTTGATGGCCTCAGGTGGAATGCCATCAAGTCCAGGAGCCTTTCCAGTGGGCAGGTTGTCTATTGCTTTTCTCAACTCCATCACCGTGGGCGGCACGTCCAGCTCCATCATGCAAGGCAAGCTGTCAATGGCATCAAAGGCATCATCGGAGACGATGTTTTCTCTGGAGTACAGCTCCGAGTAATGCTCAACCCATCTGTCCATTTGCTTGGCTTTATCCTTGATGACTTCACCTGTTGAGGATTTAAGAGGCGCCACCTTGGTTTGTGTGGGTCCCATGGCTCTCTTTATCCCATCATAGACCCCTCGGATGTTGCCGGTGTCAGCTGATGTCTGAATATCTTTACAGAGCTGCAACCAATAGTCATTGGCACATCTTCTGGCTCTTTTCTGAACTTTGCTTCGAGCTGACTTCAGAGCTTGCTGTGTTGCTTGGCTGGGGTTGCGTTTGTGTTCTAGTAGTGCAGCATGTTTTTCTTCAATGACGGGGTTGAGCTCACTGGAATTGGCTTCAAACCAGTCTTGAGTCTTCTTTTGCTTCTTCCCGAAGGCTTGTAAAGCGCTGTTATAGATGATTTGCCTCAACTGGCTCCATCTCTGTTGAGCGTCTCCCTCTGGGGGGTCTGTGAAGAGAGCTTCTTCCGGACTCTTGGTGAAGGATTCCACCCTCTTTGGATGTGAGGTCTTGATGACGTCTATGCGTGGTTTGCCAAGAGGTTTGGCTTGGTGCATCTTCTTTGGCTGGAGCCTGATCTTGCAGCACACAAGGGAATGATCAGTGTCGCAATCGGCGCTCTGATAGGAACGGGTGGTGAGCACGTTCCTCAGATGGTCTCGCCTGGTAATGATTAGGTCCAGTTGGTGCCAGTGTTTAGATCTGGGATGTCTCCAAGATACCTTGTGTTGTGGCTTGGTCTGAAAAAAATGTTGTGCAATGTACACAGCTCCAGTAGACGTTGCCCGTTCTTGTTTATTTTCCCAATTCCGTGCCTTCCCAAGCAGGTGGGCCAGGAGTCACGATCAGCACCCACTCTGGCATTGACGTCGCCGAGCAGCAGCAGTAGTTCCCGACTGGGGATCCCCTGTATAACAGTCTGCAACTGGTCGTAAAACTCATCCTTGGCTTCTTGCGAGGAGTAGAGGGTAGGAGCGTAGGCACTAACGAGGTTGACTGGTCCATCAGTTGTATGTAAGCGTAGTGTGAGAATTCTCTCTGTTCCTCTCTCGCATGGTTCGGTCATCCCTATAAGTGTGCTTCGGACAGCGAAGCCGACACCATGCTCTCTGATCTCCTCTGGCCCCTTTCCCTGCCAGAAGAAAGTAAAATCCCTCTCGCGCAGGGTGCCTGAGCCCAATAGGCGAGTTTCTTGAACTGCAGCAATGTCGACCTGCAGTCTCAGTAGCTCATTGTTGATCACCGCTGTCTTGCGCGAGTCACTGATCTCCTGCAGGTTTCAGTCAGTCCAATGGTCATTGTCCGTACATTCCAGCACCCAATCTTGAGTGCCGGCTTTTTACTTGGTTTTCTTTTTTTGTTGTCTGGTACATGGGTTTTACAGTCCGCTTGTCAGGCTAGTTAAAACCCTGAGCCCCACGCACCCAGTGAGGCAGGCGAACTGTGGCGGGACAGCACCTAACTGGCTGGGGGCTGCCCAGCTTAAGGCGGGCGGTAGCTGCAGCTGTCCATTGAGACGCGATGATCTCTCCCACCGTCGGAAGCAACCCCTAGCGCCTTACTCTACGCCAATTGAGTTAGACTTATTACTGGTAGACTATTACTTCCCGTGTTTTATCCACACCATGTGGCGAGGCTGGAGTGTCCTCTCCAGGGCGCAGGCCTGGGCTGATTTCTATGGAGGAAAGGCTGTAGCCCATTCAGCGGATCCCCCCTCTCCGCGTCAGTGATGGGTCCAAAGGAAAGGCAGAGGCCATTACAATTTGGGATCAGAGACGCCGCAGGAGTTGCCAGTAGGGTGTTGAGTCAACATCAGACTGCCTTCGGGACTCCGGCTCTGGATTTTTAAAAGATGAACTGCCTTACGGGGCTGAAGAGCTCCATCTACCCTGCTATTTACCCATAGCTGGGGCAGTGGTTGACATGGCGCCAGGGCGTATCCACACGCCGGTGGGCCTGCACACCATGTCTCTGGGGCCCACTGCTGCTCCGAGACCCCCTACAGTTCAGCCTGGGGTCGCAAGATGCCCAGTTACCATGTGTTGCCACGAGGAGGCACTGTAGGAGTCTTGGTGAGGGAGAGGCTATGTACTGGCAGGGGAGACTTACGCACTCGGCTCCCTTTTCGCCCCAAAACGGGGCTAGCCAGCGGCAGCAGCTGAAGGTAGAGAGCGGGGTGTGCAATACTAACTACAACTACGCTACTGCACTAGACGCATCACACCACCCTGTGGTAAACCACTAACACACTGGTTTAAATAAGAGCATTTTTAAACTGCACTTTCAAACTCGAAAACTTTAGTACACGAGTATTAATATGAATGTCTCTTCTTTCATGTAGAGTTTTCCAACAGCTGATGCTGATGTTCTAGATGGGACCTTAAGAATTGTCCTTCCTGCTCTATTCAAAAGTACATCAAGCCGTTGTATCAAGGTTTAGGAAGCACTACTCCATTTAAAATCACAATAATCAAACTGAGGTAAAATACGGCTTTTTACAATAAGGTTAAGGGTTTGTGTAGGCCAAACATTTTAAGTCTATTCAAAATACCTAGAGACAGAAGATGCTGCATGGTCAATCTGTTCCATCCATTTCATTTTACAATCAACGTGAACACCGAGATAATTTTAAGTGGTTACTTGTTCCAGGCAATTGTCATTTACAAAAATATTAACATTGGAATGTTCACATCTGGCAAGTTTTTAGGCTAAATCAATCAATATGCTTTTTGACTTGGTGGTATTCAGTCACTGACGTGATATCATTAATAAAGTTAGAAAATAATAATGGGCCCAGGATAGTTCCTTGTTGGACTCCAAAATTGATAGCATTCGATTTGTTCGATAAGACATTCCCAATTTTGTTTACCTGTGTCCTTCCATAAAGGTAAGACCGGAACCAGTCGAGCTCCAGACCTCTTACGCCTATATTGTGTAATTTGTTAAGACAAATTGTGTAATTGACAGTGTCAAAAGCTTTACGAAGTTCTAAAAACACTGCTCCAATAAATTTACCACCGTCCATCTGCTTGAGTAAAAAGTCTGAGACATCAAGGAGTGCTCTTTGTTTGAAATGAAGAGGTCTGAAGCCCGACTGTTCCTGTGCTAAGCAGTCATTTACTGTAAGAAAATGAGAAACTGATTATGAACAATACGCTCAATTTTTTTTTATATCAGTTGATATAAATGAAATAGGTGCCTATATTGATTAAGGTCATGAATTACACCACCTTTGTGGATAGTAGTAACTTTGTACAATTTCCATTCATCGGGAACAATACCACTCTGCAAACTTTATTGAAATATTACAGCAAGTGGTTTGGCAGGAACATAAGCGCCAGATAAAAAAAAAAAACCAGCCGTTAATCCCATCCATACCAAAGGCTTTCCCAGCAGGTTTTTTCCTAAGAAGATTCAATACTTCGCCAGTAGAAACTGGGCAAAATTTAAAGTTTTGTTGATCTTTAATCGCGTTGTTCTCATTTAATTCTGTATCTATTTCTAAAATAGTGTCAAACTGGCTGTCCTGAATTTGGCCCACAGCAAAATGGTCATTAAAGAAATTTGCAACGTCATGATTCTTTTCTTTTTCTTCGGTGTCGGTGTAAGTATGAGTTGATTTCTTACTCGGAAGCAGGCTTTTCAGAGTGGTCCACAATTTGTTTTAGTATTTCCGTTATTGTCATAAATAATTTTGTTGTAGTACTGTCTCATAAGTTAACACCCAGATTATTCAATCTATTTCGAAGAACCTTTGCTGTTCCATAAAGCTCATCATTGTTGGATATGTTAGCAAGATTTTTGGCCCTCATATATTTTCGTCCGAGTTCCAAATAATTGCCATTGATTCATTTTGCTTTGTTTGTGCAAACTCTGAGACTTTTCACTGGGCTATAAATATCACAAACACTCATTAGCATATCTCCTTAAAAATATTCCATGCTGTATTTGGTTCTATAAATAATTCCAGTATATCCCATGGTTGATGTTTAAGATCATGATTAAAAGCTTCTTCCTTAAAATTTCGAAATGACCGAGCACGAATATATTTATGACCTGTGGAAATTTTCACAGACTTTTGAACAGCATCAATCAATCAATAAATGGTTGCTAAGATTAACCTCTTTTGTTCCTGAATTAGTGTACATAGATGGTTGATTGGTCCAGACATGATCTATACAAGTAGAACTTTGCAGTGTTATTCTTGTCGGACAGGTAATTAATTGATTCAGTTAATAAGTATCGAATTGTTGTTTCAATTTTGTCCAATGACTTGAACTTGAAGGCAAATGATCAGTATTAAAAGCGCCCAAGCAGGTCATTTCCGGTGGAGTTCTTGAGTTATACATATTCGTGACATCATCAAGAATAGCTGGAAAATCCTCGAAGAATGCCTCATTGTCTGGTGGTCGATAAACACAGCTGATAATCAGTGGTCTTGTTGAAGGCAGGTGCGGTTGGATCTCCAACCTTAAAAATCTTTAAAAAATTATCTTAAAAAGTATTTCTGCATAATTTGAAGAAAAGTCATTTTTTGGCCAAATTTCATAAAAAAGTAATAAAAAGTAAGGCTAACCCCTTGTGTATTTTTCAATCTTGGCCAAAAAATGAAATTGCTCAAAATTAGCTGGAAAGATGCCTAAAGGACCCTAGAACACATTCCGATTCGATATCCGGACAGATCAGCTTTTAAACAGGATATTTTGACAAAAGATTGCGGTATCTAAAATATTTTTTTTTTCACCAAAAATTGATGATTTTGGCCAAAATCTTTAAAATATTGGGTGTTTGAATGCTGATTGATGCTCCTCTCACATTTAAAGGTATTTCTGCATAGTTTGAAAAAGAAGTCATTTTTTGGCCAAATTTCATAAAAAAGTAAGGCTAACCCCTTGTGTATTTTTCAATTTTGGCCAAAAAATGAAATTGCTCGAAATTAGCTGGAAAGATGCCTAAAGGACCCTAGAACACATTCCGATTCGATATCCGGACAGATCAGCTTTTAAACAGGATAGTTTGACAAAGTTTGCGGCAAAACAGTCTAAAATATTTTTTTTTTCACCAAAAATTGATGATTTTGGCCAAAATCTTTAAAATATTGGGTGTTTGAATGCTGATTGATGCTCCTCTCACATTTAAAGGTATTTCTGCATAGTTTGAAAAAGAAGTCATTTTTTGGCCAAATTTCATAAAAAAAGTAAGGCTAACCCGTTGTGTTTTTTTCAATTTTGGTCAAAAAATGAAATCGCTTGAAATTTGCTGGTAAGATGCCTTAAAGACCCTAGAACACATTCCGATTCGATTTCAGGACAGATCAGCTTTTAAAAAGGATATTTTGACAAAAGTTTGCGATAAAAACAGTCTAAAATAATATTTTGTTTCACCAAAAATTGATGATTTTGGCCAAAATCTTTAAAATATTGGGTGTTTGAATGCTGATTGATGTTTCTCGCACCTTTAACAGTATTTCTGCATAGTTTGAAGAAGTCATTTTTGGCCAAATTTCATATAAAAAGTCCCTTAGCGTGACCAGGTTTGAAGTTTGCTTACGACTGCGGTACCACGTTTCTATATTATTACAAACTAACAATAGGGGGCGCTCAGGAGTTAAGTGTTAACATTGTAAGGAATAGCCTTTAGTACTACCGCCCGAACATCGGGTGCGTAATTGCTCCCTATTGTTGGCTTGTGGCTATAAAAAAAAATACGAAGTAAAGAACACAGCAAATCACAAAACAAACGGCTCTTTTCAGAGCCACCACAACTTCCAAAAAGAGATAATTCAGTCTGTCTTCAAAAAACAAAGTTTAAAACATACCGTGGTTCCCACCCCCGAAAAATAAAAATCTTAAACAAATTAAGAACCCCTCCGGCCCCGCCTAAAAAACAATCCCAATGAAAACAGGTTTCCAAGATCTTCAAACGCCCCACCACATATACATTGAACAAATTTTAATCCAAAATTATTACTTTTGTTTATTTATTATTATTATCTTAAAAGAATCCCTCCCGACAAACAATAATCACTAATTGCTGCGAAATTACACATGGAGACACTTAAACCCGGAAGTAATATTAGCGCCCTCTCTTGCCCGATTCCAGCAAATGCAAAACGAAAGCAAAATGTCACTTGGCACGAATGTGCGCTATAGTTAACCAAAATAATTACAATTTCAAAGAATCCCTTCAGAAACAATAATACCCAACTGTTCCACAAAGTCAACAACCAAAAGGCATCTAAGGATCAGGAGTCATTAAAACCCGGAAGTAATGCAGGTATTGGCGCCCTCTCTTGCCCGATTCCAGCAAATGCAAAATGAAAGCAAAATGTCACTCGGCACGATTTGTGCGAGTGACCTACTTGCCTGATTCTTCTCAGCGATGATGCCTTTTCCTCCGGATTCAGGTCCTCAAATATTGAACAATGTTCCCTCAAAGGTATTTTTTTTATTTCATTTATTCATCACCATCAGTTAAATATTTAATATACATTATTAACAGACGTACATACCAACAAATGACCTTCTTTTCATGTCTTCGGACGTGCGTAACACGATTAAAACACGCACGCACCGTACCTTGTGCACAACGAATGGGGAAAACTGCGCTCCGGTTTTAGCGAGGTTCCGGCTATAACGACAGTATTGTGAAAGTCCATCGGACCTCGTTATAACGGGAGCCGACTGTAGCGCAGTATTAACAAGACGGATGTTGTCGAGTTATAAGCCTAAAAAGGGTAAGAATAGCTAGGGACTTGTTGATGAAAGTGGGAGTTGAAATTGAAATAGGTAATGAATATTTACAGTGTCACCAAGCATGCGCAGTTGCAGAATGAAAGCTAGTGTTGATTGTAAAAAAATGGCGAATAGTGATTTGGGAACATGAAAAAAAGGGGTATATATATAAAAACTTTACATGGGGTGGGTGGGGCGAAAGAGGAGGGGGATGACGCGATGGAGTTAAGTAACACGACCGTAGGGTTAGGGTTAGGGTTAGGGTTAGGGGTTAGGGTTAGGGTTAGGGTTAGGGTTAGGGGTTAGGGGTTAGGGTTAGGGTTAGGGTTAGGGGTTAGGGTTAGGGTTAGGGGTTAGGGTTAGGGTTAGGGTTAGGTTAGGGTTAGGGTTAGGGGTTAGGGTTAGGGTTAGGGTTAGGTTAGGGTTAGGGGTTAGGGTTAGGGTTAGGGATCTTCTGTAGGCCGACCTCGGAGTATAAGGTCGGTGACCCCTGAGGTCAAAGGTCATGACCCCCCGCAACTGTTGGTGGGGTCACAAGGTTATGCTCCCTAGGGGTCAAAGGTCACGGGGTCAAAGGTTACTGCACAAAGTATAGGAAAAAAACTTTGAGAGGTCATAACCTTTGACCCCTGGGGAGCATAACATTGTGACTAGGTCAAAATCTTTCGGGGGAGGTCATGACCTCTGACCCCAAAGGTCAAGGTCATAGGTCATTGGGGTCAGGAGTTATGGCCAAAAGTTGTCTATTTCCGACACCCCAAAATAAAGAAAAACATAAGAAATTCTAAAATGGTCTGAAACGTGTAAAAAACATATAAGTCAATATGGGTCAAATATAAGGGAATGGGTTAGTACGTCGTTTTTTCAAGTGTGTGTATGCGTTAACGCATAGGGCAAGGGCTTGTGCACAAATCCTATGGCAATTCAACTTTGTACACATATCAATGGAAGTACTGGATGCACGCCAGTATTTGGGATGTATTAGAGCATTAGGGACGAGTTGGCACCCTGGTCCCGAGTTATTCGTTTTGGGCGGTCTGCAGGACCGTACCTAGGCACGGATACCCAGTTTTTGACCCTATTTGACCCTATGATAGTGTTATTGGACCGTGAAAAGACTACCCTAACCCCTTTAACCCTGATTCGACCGTATTTACCCTATTCGAGACGGTTTAACAATATTTCGGGCGATTTTACCCTACATCACAGTGTATAACCCTACCCCTATAGCTAATCCCTCTATTTCCGACACCCTAGCCCTACCCCTTTGTAATATCCGTCTATTTGCGACAGCTAGCCCCATCCCCATGCCAAATCCCTCTATTTCCGACACCCTAGCCCTACCCTTATGTAATATCCGTCTATTTCCGACAGCTAGCCCTATACCTATGCCAAATCCCTCTATTTCCGACACCCAAAATAAAGAAAAACATAAGAAATTCAAAAATATCAGGAAAAACATCAGATATTCAAAAATATCAGGAAAAACATAAAAAATTCATAAAACAAAGAAAAACTAACCCAAACCCTAATAACAAAGAAAAACATAAGAACCCTAAGAACAAAGAAAAACATTAGAAATAGGGTTTGATGTAGGGTTAGGGTTAGGGTTAGGGGGTTAGGGTTAGGGTTAGGGTTAGGGGTTAGGGTTAGGGTTAGGGTTAGGGTTAGGGTTAGGGTTAGGGTTAGGGTTAGGGGTTAGGGTTAGGGTTAGGGTTAGGGTTAGGGTTAGGGTTAGGGTTAGGGTTAGGGTTAGGGTTAGGGTTAGGGTTAGGGTTAGGGTTAGGGTTAGGGTTAGGGTTAGGGTTAGGGTTAGGGTTAGGGTTAGGGTTAGGGTTAGGGTTAGGGTTAGGGTTAGGGTTAGGGTTAGGGTTAGGGTTAGGGTTAGGGTTAGGGTTAGGGTTAGGGTTAGGGTTAGGGTTAGGGTTAGGGTTAGGGTTAGGGTTAGGGTTAGGGTTAGGGTTAGGGTTAGGGTTAGGGTTAGGGTTAGGGTTAGGGTTAGGGTTAGGGTTAGGGTTAGGGTTAGGGTTAGGGTTAGGGTTAGGGTTAGGGTTAGGGTTAGGGTTAGGGTTAGGGTTAGGGTTAGGGTTAGGGTTAGGGTTAGGGTTAGGGTTAGGGTTAGGGTTAGGGTTAGGGTTAGGGTTAGGGTTAGGGTTAGGGTTAGGGTTAGGGTTAGGGTTAGGGTTAGGGTTAGGGTTAGGGTTAGGGTTAGGGTTAGGGTTAGGGTTAGGGTTAGGGTTAGGGTTAGGGTTAGGGTTAGGGTTAGGGTTAGGGTTAGGGTTAGGGTTAGGGTTAGGGTTAGGGTTAGGGTTAGGGTTAGGGTTAGGGTTAGGGTTAGGGTTAGGGTTAGGGTTAGGGTTAGGGTTAGGGTTAGGTTAGGGTTAGGTTAGGGTTAGGGTAGGGTTAGGGTTAGG